AGGCAGCTTCATCAATGAGTTCACTAGCTCACTCACCACGAGCAAGGCACCTCAATGGCTCGGGAAAGGAGGGGCTGGTTTAGCTCACCGAGGCTACAACAAGAGGGTGGCATGTGCCCCATCCAGTGCCCACACTACCACGGGATGCCCTTGCTCTCTCTGACCATCATTTCAAAGCCACAGTTGCCCCTGCAACAGGATGCGGTTGGTTCCCCTGCCGACTCCTGGTTTGACCCGACTTTGCTTTTGGAGACAAATGCCCACCAACACACTTGGGGTCCTGAAGGGCTCCTATGAGCTCCAGTTCCACCTGCTCCAGGCAGCCTCCAAGATGAGCACCCTTCCTCCCTTTATGGCTCCACCATCCCAAGCATCCCCCCCATTTCTTCAATATTTTCTTGTTAAACCTAGGTGGCTCCTCTGTCCAGCCCACTTGAGTGTGGACAACTCTGGGAGTTGAGTGGGCTACATGGTGGCCAAGGAGAGACTGACAGGACCAGTGGCACCATCCTGGTGGGCAGGAGGGGGACTCTGGATGGACTGGTGATGGTAAGTTATCCAGGTGAGCGCTGATTGGGGTTCTGCGTCTGTTTTTCAGAAATCATGTATCCGGAGAGGTTCTTTCCAAAACAAAACAGAAGGAAAAGCTCACTCCAAATGGGCCCACCTGTTAGGAGGGGCAGGGACCACTCTCCAGTGTTCAGTGTTCGCCAGGTGGCAGACAAGGACCCAAGCAAAGACCCCAAGGAACCCTGTACCCAGCTTAACACGCCCAGAACAGGATGGCCACTGCTCCGATGCGGGGCCCAGCTCCTCTCCTCCCGTGTCTGAGCCAATGTTTCTGGGCACCAATTTCAGGCCGTGGTGGCACAGATAGGTTGACAAGTCTGGGGGCAGCCCGCCCTGTAACTGAGGTGTCCTGTACACAAAGGGAGGCACCTAGCAGAGCCACCTCACAGCTTGGGAGTAAAGGGTTTGTTTTATGACATCTATTCTAAAGATGGACCGCTGCACACACCCAAGTTCCATGGTTCTGACATTCTTGAATTATTTGGCCTGTTCTGTAGTGAGCTCCAGTCCTGGGGTCCAACCCCATTTGAACGTTTACCCACAGCCTGGACAACAGGTAAGATAGCCCTTAGTGGAGAGCGGCTGCTGAACTGTGGCAGGGAGGTGATGCTTGTGGTGCGCCTTTCCTGGGGCATCGTGGCTTGGATCAGCAATGTCCCCCAAAGCCATGTTGGAAGCATTTCCCTCAAAGCTGCAGGGTTCAGAGGTAGGGCTCTGGGGCAGTGATTAAATCACTGGGTTCTGACCCACAGGGGATGAATCCACTCAGAGGGACAGGGCTAGCGGGAGGTGGGACCTAGCTGGAGGAGGCAGTCATCGGGCCATGCTCCAGAAGAGTGTGTCTCCCTTTCTCCCCACTTCTGGGCTGCCACCCGCCATCACTCCTCTGCATGGTGTTTCCGCCACAGAATCCCCGATCATGAAGTGAGAGCTCTGAAATTGACCTCTCCTCTACGTATTCCTGACGGGTATATGGTCACAGCAATGACAAGCCGACTGTCACAGGCTGGAAGACTACCACAGTGAGTTGGCCTACACCCTGACCTTCCAGGGCCAGACCACCCCCACCTGCTTAGACAATTACAGCTCACCTGTGCTAATGGCCAAGGTGAATTTTGCATAAAATCCCATTAAGGAATACCTGGCGATATAAAAACCACTTCAAAAACCTGCTCTAATTTCTGGGGATGCTGTACATATTAGAGGACTTGTAAGACACCTGGTTGCCAGCTGTATGCCCCAGACCAGACACCAAGTGAGAACAGCACAGCAGGGTGTTTGAGGCCGGGCCCTGGATACCTGCTCCTTGTGGCCTTCCTGACCAAGCCTGCACACTTACCTATGCACTCGGTATAGCACCCCAAGGGAACTGAACTAAAGGACTGTGGGTCACACTGACCATAAGGGTCTTGTTAATGAGCTGACATGTGTTCACCTCAAATCATGTTGAAACTCTGAGTCCCAGTTCCCTCCAAATGTGACTACATTTGGAGACAGAGCAGCAATCAAGTTAAACAGAGATGGCTGGGCTGGGGATGTGGCTCAAGCGGTAGCGCGCTCGCCTGGCATGCGTGCGGCCTGGGTTCGATCCTCAGCACCACATACAACAAAGATGTTGTGTCTGCCGAAAACTAAAAAATAAATATCAAAAAATCTCTCCCTCTCTCTCTCTCAAAAAAAGAGATGGCTGGGCTGGGTTCTACCCCAATGACAGGTGTTCTCATAAAAAGCAAAGTGGGGACAGAAATATGGACAGGAAAAGGTTGATATGAAGACACAGGGAGAAGATGGCACCTGTAATTCAAGAGAAGCCTAGAATGGGTCCTTCTCTCAGTCCTTCAAAGGAACAAACTCTGATCTCGCACGAAGTCTCTAGAACCCTGAGAAAATAGGCTTCCATGGTTCATGTCACCCAATCTGTACTTTCTTATAGGGGTGCAGGCAGACTCCTGGCAGCCTGCTGATGTTAGGGTCTACAATTCAAAAGGAACGCTCTGGGGGTACTGCACCATTAGACTTAGGGAAGTTCAGAGCCAGGAAGTCACACACCGTGCAGGAACAGCCCCTACACAGTGAAAGGACTGGGGAACTAGACCTGCTTTCCTATGCTTAGAACTGGTCCTCCAACACAGCTATTAAACCTGAGCTTTCCAAGTTGGAGAGAAAGAAGATTCAGGTGAACACTTAAGGTGGTCTGCAAACACTGTTGGAGCAGAAACAACCACTCCTGTGATGGGAAATGGTGGACATAAGCTCTGAGGTGTGGACAGTCCCACCTGGAGCCCCAGCTGCAGAGTAGCCTTGGATCACAGCTGCAGATGCACAGAGTCGGGCAGGGGTGCACACAGCTGCAACTAGAGGCCTAAAGGCCCGCGTGCCCTGGCGTTAAAACCATGAAACCAGGGTGTTTCTGGGGCCTTGAGATTTCAAAAGTCATCTAGGACACCCCATGCCCCCCCCATCCTGTGCAACCCCTATTCCCCTAGAAGAGCTCTGCCAAGGCTTACAGTACAAAATCCTGGAAACCAGAGAGGGAGATTGAGCCACGTCAGCCAGGCTCCTCAGTGACGTCTCACTTAGCCAAACCCCACGGCCACTAAACCCCTTGAAGGCAGTGCTCTCCAGACCGAAGGAGAACTGTTCTGTAAACTCATCAAAAAGAAAAGCAGGGCTGCAGTTGTGGCTCAGTAGTAGGTTGCTCGCCTAGCATGGGTGAGGCGCTGGGTTTGATCCTCAGCATCATATAAAAATAGATAAAACAAAGGAGGGAGGGGAAAAAAGCAGAAGCTAGGGAGACACATACCTGAGTGCCAGCCAGCAGGGACACCCACAGAGAAGTGGGACTTCGGAAAGAGGGGAGGCTTCCAGCACTGGGTGCTTAGTGTGCACCAAGACCTGCTCCACGTGGCCCTGAGGCCAGCTCCTGCTACCCGTACACAGGCAGCCTCACATACGATGCCGAGATGGCTCCAGCAGATACAGCATCTGCACTGCAGAGAGGCCCAGGCATGACAGACACCTGGGTTTTCACACCTGTTCTGCAGGCAAGTCACCAAGACTTGCAGCTGGCAAGACAGAGATATCCCCTCCCCACCCAGGTACTCCTGAGGAGAGCACACCATTGGCTCTGAGGAGCCTGGACTGTCAGAGCCCATACCATCAGCACACAGGGGCCGGGCAGGGTCTGCTCGAGGCTCTTTCCCTCTGGTCACTCGCTAGGCTCAGCAACTCCTGGGAGAGCTAAAAGCCAACACTGTCTTCCTGTCTGCTATGGCGATCGCACCTGGTCAAGACTGCAGCATGGGGGCTGGGGATATGGCTCAAGCAGTAGTGCGCTCGCCTGGCATGCGTGCGGCTCGGGTTCGATCCTCAGCACCACATACCAACAAAGATGTTGTGTCCGAAAACTAAAAAATAAATAATATTAAAAATTCTCTCTCTCTAAAAAAGACTGCAACATGCCATCCTGGACTAGGGGGTGAGATGCAGGAACTTTTGGGGGCTCAGGACCTCCAACTTCTTCATTCTACGTTGCCATGGCAATGACTCACTCCGTGTGGTGTGCCTGCTGGGGACCCACTGCCCAGGGCACATCCCTGCTCCGGAGAATGACAAGCAACAACCACAGCACACATGTATCCACATGCAGAACTCTGGAGTGTTCTCTCCCATGACCTGCTGGCCCCTCACTGCATTCTGTGTGCCTCTCCATCTCCATCTCACCTCTCCATGGAAAAAGCCAGCTTCCTTCTGCTCCTGGGAGCACCATGGGAGCTGGGTCAGGCCCTAAGTTCCACTCCAGGTCCAGGGACCAGAAGTGAGACCGCTAAACCACAAGATGCAACCATCTTGGGGTGTGAGGCTCAGAAAGAGTTAAATGGATCTTTAAAAACAAAACATGAAAATGGCTTCAGTTCAGTTTGATGAGGTCAGTGAATATGAGGCCTAATGACACGTGTAAGAAAAAACATCTGTCGATGTCAAAGGTCGGCAGGAAGTGAGTGGGGTCTGGGCAGCTCCAATTGGCTGGACACATGCTCCTCGAAAGAGACACACATGGCTTAACTTAGCCCTAGGGGAACAACAAAACCCCCTTTCAATTGTCCTGAGCAGCCCCGCCTCTGCCTCCAGAGCAGCAGAGGACCCTGACTGGCTCTTTGTTCACTCTCTGCCCCATGGAGGCCAAGCCCTGGAGCAGCCTTCGGGGAACTGGGACAGCAGGCCACAGAGCCTCCTGCTTCCCTCTCTAGAAACACAGCAAAAGCCTCAATAAATCCATCACCACCAAAACCAAAACAAGAAGCTCCTTTGGGAAAACAGGAAGTCCTGGAACACAGCACAGCCTAAAACAGGGCGGATTTACTGAGGAACAGCACCAGCCTCCTGAGCCTCTGCACCAACTCACCTTATACCGGTCCTGCAGGAGCCGGAGGTGGGGGGGGGGGCAGACCAGGCTGCCCCCAGGAGGGAGGGGCCTGGTCTTTGTTACACTCTGATGCAGGTCACAGGTCTGGGACTTAGCCAGTCCTGCTTCCTGTCCACAGGCCCCAAGAAAGGCCTCAAGGGAAGCCATGCCGCCCTGCTGCAGGAATGAGGCCTGGTGCTATAATAAACGGGGGCCGCTGGGGCCTTTAAAGTCTGGGGTCTTCTGGAACCCGCCTGCCCCTCATGGACAGCTACAGTTCCAGGAAGACCTGGCAGCTAGGTGCCAACTCCTGGGAACACACTGAACTTCACCACTGTGCGGTGGGCACGCAAGGTGCCAGATTTCATCTGATATGAAGACCGGGCAGGCAGGAAGACGAGAAGTTCCCATTTCCCCCAAAGGTACCCAACTCTAAAGGGCATAAGTACAGGAAACCTCCTAAGAAACCATAAGTATCTTCCACAGACTGTGCACACAGCGTTGTGTTCCTTATGCCGGCTCCCGCCAGCTGTGCCCAACTGTCCCCTCCTTTCCCACCGATTTTGTTTTGTTTGTTTTGATAACGGCCAAGGATGCTGAAGGCAGTCAAAAGCACAGCCTGTGTACCAAAACTCTACCCTGGCTGCAAGGGAGAGCAGAGAATCAAGTCAGCTGACCTCCAAACGGAGAGTCCAAGGTCATGCTGCTTACAGTGACCTTCAGCATGTTCCTTTACCTCAAGGAAAGACCAAGGTGGTTCCTGCCCCCAGAGCTCCTGCAGATTCACAGGGACAGCTGCCTGGGACACTGCATTAAATAACTTGTCAACTCCAAAGGGAATCAAAGTTCCCACTCGTTGGGCGTAGTGGCACGGGCCTCTAATCCCAGCCTCCCTGGAGCTGAGACAGGAGGATCCCAAGTTCAAGGACAGCCTGGGCAATTTGGTGAGATCTCAAACATCAGAGAGGGTGGAGGATGTAACTTGGTGGTAGACTGCCCTGGGGTTCATCCCCAGTACAGGAGGGAGAGAGGGAAGGAAGGCAAGGCCAGTCCAGGCTTAAGTAAATAAGAAAACATGGGCAATGTTGGGTATTTCGGGATTTTAGTGAGTTTTGTTGGTTCACAGAGAAAAAAAAAAATCAGCTGAAGATAAACATCAAGGCACACAATTCTGTTTAAATGTGAATTTAGTCTACCATGGGGGGGAACGGAAAATTGAGAAATGGGGAAGGGGAGACTATGGTAGGTAGAACTGAGAACTGAAGTGATTCAGATGAAATGCAGTTCGGACCTAAGCCTTGCCTCCACCCAGCCATCCTGATCCACATGCATCCTGGACTCCAGCGAAGCAGCCCCACCTGGTGCGACCACGCCCCTCTACCTGACTTGGGGCAAGACTTTTTACGGGGTTCTTTACCCATGACCTCAGGAGCAGCGTTGCAAAGGAGTCACCTCTGAACCATGAGTGCAAGGCCCTCCTACCCGTCTCCAGCCTTTCTGAGGGCCAGAAGGTTGTGTTGGGGGCTTGTGCTAGGTCTAGCTTTGCAGATGTTCCAGGCGACTCTCTCTCAGGACCTCCAAGTTAACCCACTGTCTGGCCCGGGGTTCACCCTCCCAGGGGATCTGAGGTTCCAGGTCTTCGGTGCCTAACTGAGGCCATCTCGTCCAGCTCTGTTCTTTTTAGTGAACAATACGGAGAAGCTGAGCACATGTGACCACGCAGCTGATCCACACAAGCATTTCCCCACAGCCATTTATTTTAAGGCACCAAGCGCTATTTTTACACTCCACAGAAACACTGCCAAGGGAATCCACAGAGGAAATCAGAGAAGCTTCAGCCGCCCGGGCTACGCTGGTTTCGCACATCCACAGCGCCAGCGATCATGGTGCACTATCTGCCTCCCTTCCTCGGAGACGAGTCTCATACCTACAGTCACCGGACATTGTTGAAGATCAAGAATTAAAAAAAAAAAAAAAAAAAAAGTTGCAAAAAAAACTCAGTCTCTCTTCCACCTCTGGCCAGGATATCCCACCCGCAACCTCGTTGTGAGCAAGTGACAACATAAAATTCCCAGCGTAGGGAACAGGCGATGCCTGGGACCCATCAGAGAGAGTTCTTAAGCCTTGCCCTCTGCCTACCATTCTGGGTTCCGCAGTTGAGGAAAGGCTGACCCTTGCAGCCCCGCCCAGGACTGCTACACTGGCTGGAGATCCTGGCTGACCAGTGCAGGCAGAAATGCTAGGGCAACGGGAGGAGGGAAGAGGAAAATGCAGTTGCCGGTTGCATATCAGCCTGTTCCAGACTCTTGTGGTCAGCCCTGGAGGTGTGCCTTAGGATGCCCAGCAGCCAGTGCCTATTAGACCCTGCTTGCCCCCGGCCTTTAGAAGGCTGAACTCTCCCTGGAATCCTCAGAAAACAGCCCTGGTATGTACCATTTTATTTGCACTCAAAACATCCTTTCTGGGCCCAAACTAACAAGCTGAGCTTACTATTTTTGGCGACGGCCTTGGCATTGTTTAGGAATGTTTTCAGGGCTAAGCACATCACTAAAGCAAACATCTTCTTTCCCGCTGCTAGGCCAGCGGAGCTGTGAACGTGCCTCCAGACAGGACTTCCAGTGGAACTGCCCCCTCTGGTGGAGCCACTAGCAACAGGCGCCCTGGCTCCAGGGAGCTCTGCTGGGCACCAGACTCCAGTACCCATGCTGTCTTTGAGGGTGGCTCCTTCAGCAGCTTCTAGCCCCTCACCCCAGCAGCATGGGAGAGGACTGAGCCTCCTAGGCCTGTCCTCAGCACCCTGACCATATCACTGAATTTTCCCAATGGTGCTAGGAAACAGGCATGATATTATTTCCACTCAAAATGGCAAATGTGATGCCCAGGGCATGGAACAACTTGTTCAAGGAGACTTATAGGTGTCCCCCAAACTCTGTGAGAGACAACATAAAAAAGTTTAGAGGTGAGGTGACTGAGTCATGCAGCCTTAACTTAATCTGTGCATTCACCACTGATAGGGACTCACTGGGTGGCGACATGGCAGGTAGGGCGTGGCTGGAGGAGGTGGGTCACTGGGGCTGTGCCTCTGGTGAGCTGAACTCCACTTGCTGGTGCCAGGCCCTGAGGTGCCTTCCTCCTCCACACCCTCCCACCATGCCGTCCTGCCTCACCTCAGGGCCCAGAACAATGGAGTTGGCCAGCTATGGACTGGGCCCTCTGAAACAGTGGATTCACATAAATATTTCCTCCTCTAAAATTGTTCTTGTCAGGGTTTATAGGTCACAGCAGCAAAAACAAATACCCCCCTCCAAATAAATGCCCTCCCCCCACATCCCCTCAAAAAAACCCTTGATTAAAACCGAGACTCGGGGCTGGGGATGTGGCTCAAGCGGTAGCGCGCTCGCCTGGCATGCGTGCGGCCCGGGTTCAATCCTCAGCACCACATACAAAGATGTTGTGTCCCCGATAACTAAAAAATAAATATTAAAATTCTTTCTCTCCTCCCTCTCTCTCAAAAAAACAAACAAACAAACAAACAAACAACAAACCGCGACTCCACCGCGACTCCATGAGGGGTAGAGGTAGGCAGAGCCATGCAGTCCAGCTGCAGCTATACGCAAGGTCCTGGAGAGCTCCCAATGCACAGGCTTGTGAGTACATTTATTGTAAGTGGTACAAGGAGAACACCTTCCCATTGGGCAAGGAGGGAGGGCCAAGAGAGCATGCAGCTGCCCACCTCAGTTCTAGACAGTGAGAGAGCACCCCCAAACAGTGGGGTGTACTCACAAAACCCTCACATTGTTCGACTGCCTTTTAGATAATTTAAATAAAGGGGTGCCAGTATGTAATATTTCTAGATTTGAGAATTTCAGGCACAATAAAAAGCCTTGAGGGCGCCACAACCCACGGCCCACACCTGCTTTATATTCTGCCTGTTCACTGATGTAATGAGGTGACGGCTGGACTTGCTTTACAATGAGGATGTAAGTATCCGCGTGTGCGCAGACAGCACGTGTGAGGTTGCCATCAGTCACCTGTTCACCTGGCCGGTGGGCACACCTGCTTTTGTACACTTGCAACTTCCCATGTTATTACTTTTCTAAAGCTGCAGGCTGTACAATGGGACAGGGCTGGCTACTTAGTAAAGTCTCTAGGAGGCACAACTTTATGCAAATGGCTGCTGCTTTTGTGGCTCTCCTGAGAGGTCAGGAACGTTGGGCCAGCCTGCTGCACACCCAATTTTCTGTTGGTTCTAAGGAGGACATATGAGCAGACCACTGTGTTCCAGTCCCCTTTTCAGGCTTCCAGACAGCAGGCCATGAAGGGAGCTGGACCTGGCGGACACCCTGACTCCCAAACCAGCAATGCCCTGGGCAGCAACGCACTAAGGGGCAGTGAGAACCTAGACCTCTACCGCCACGGTGTGCTGACCCCGGTGTGCAGCCATTGCTAGCTGAACCGAGAACAATGAGCAAGCCATCATCACATCATCCACGCGGTGAAACTGACTGCGGGCTACCCTGAGGACGTCTTCATTTCAGATGTGGAAGGAGCGGGTGAATTGCTCTGGTGGGCAGAAACATGTTCGAGAGACGAGGATCCTTTATCCACCTGCAAGCCCCATGCGTGTCTCGCACATGCACCGTGGGACCAATTTCACCCCAACGAGGAGCGAGCGTCTGCCCTCAGCCGGGGCTCTGGCCACTTCAGGAACCAAGGAAAGATGCCGAGGCCACCTGGGAGGGGCCCCAAACATGGCAACCTGATCCACAGGCCAGGAAGGATTCCTTCCTGCTGTAGCAAAACTGTTAAGTTCCTCTCAACGTACACAAAACCAAGGCAACCCTCTCGTCCTTTGGCTCCCCTCCAGTAGTAAAAATTAATTGCCACATAAAATTGCTGATTCCTAGCAAATGAAGCTATACGATTTATCAACTCACGGATGGCGCAAACTCAATAGTGGTTTAACTACATCACCTGAGTTATGGCTGTGTTTTCTACCAGTGACAGCTTTACGGGGAATAGAAGTTTAGCAAATTCATTCACGTAGGACAAACTCCCAAAGTAAACAAAGGGATCAGGCAGATGCCGCTCCCTGTGGCTTTGTCACACTGATTCTCAACCAGCACCAGGAGTGGACTCCCCTTGGGTACCGGTGAGTACCCACCTGTCCCTTGCCACCCCCCAGGCTCCAGCACCACCCCACCAGGGGCCCTTTCCCAAGATGACCCAAAGCCTCGGCACCCTAACTTTGGAGTCGTAGTTTTATTACCCGATGCAACTTTGTAGAAGAATCCAGTTATTTAAGATGCACCAGAGACAAGTTACTGCCAATCGCGTTTTAATTTTCTGGCAGGGTGACGAATTCACAAGTAGCTCACAAGGTGCAGCAGACCCTCAGACTGGGAGATGCTCCCTTGACACCCAATGACAAGCAGCACCCGGCTTTCCAAGAACATAGGCACCTTTGTTTCACTGCAGTCACTCCCGAGATCTGGACATCCCTGTCATGTCTTCTCCACCCCACCCCCACCCGCTTTCCTTGTCCTTTGTCCCCTAACATAGTGTCATTCTTTCTAAACTGAATGAGACTCTGGCCTGGATGGGGGGTTGGTCACCTTCTGGTTCCACGGTCCCTAGAACAGGCCAGCTCTTCCCCGCACTCTGTCTTTGGAGAAAAACACATTTGGGAGAAATCCTTAGAGAACAGCAACCTCAGGAAGGGTACCGAGAGGGACCCCTACCTGTCCCTGTCCACAAAGGAAAACCAACGGCTACCACTCTTGGAAGAAGCAACCGGATTCTGAGAATTCCAGGCTCATGGAAGACGCAGCAAGCCTGGCTGCATCTGTCTTGTTTTCTACCTGTAGCTGTCAGCGTGGTGCCTGGAGGCTGTCCAAGAACCCCGATTTGAAGAACCCGACATAAGAGGAAAGTCACAGGTCATTAACCCGCATGTGGATTTTCCCCATTTCTGGCCATTCCACTTTGTCCCTCTGTCAACCCCAGACTCCTCCTCCAAGGATGTGGAGATTCTGCCCACGGTTTGTGGTCAAAGTCACAGGAAGAGAGACCAAGAATGCAGCCTTTCTGGTTTGGTCACTTACCTCAAAGCTGGTTTTGTCCTTTCTTCTTTCATTGGCCAAGTTGTGCATATTTAGGATTTTCGTTCCACAAGTCTCCCCACCTCACTGGTTTTACTACTTAACGAGCAGAGACTATTCCCTCCCAATTATCTTAAACGCACCCGCAGGTCACCCCAGGTCACCCCAATTATTTGGCACAGAACACGAAATGCCCAGGAGAAGTCTCAGCTGGTGATGAAATGTTCGCCTCCAGAAAACCCACTACTGTCCCCACTGCTGAGGGGTAGCTGAACCACTCTGTGCAAAATCTGTGGGCGAGGACTTTCTTCAGACAAGGTCCTCTGGCGGGGTTCCCGGCCATCTCTTCATGCCAAGGGGGCCAGGCCCTCAGAGCCCAAAAGGAAGCCCTGTGGCTGTGGCCTTGCTCGCCTCTTACGTAGGACTGAGCACACTAGGTCTCCTGGATGCGCGAGGCTCTCTGAAGAGCTGCAGAGAATCCCCAGGGAAGCCAGGGCTGGGACTCGGCTCACCACACCAGGGCGACTCTGACAGCTGGCAAAGTGGCACACTTTTTCCTTTGAAGAATTTTTTTTACTTAAAAAGCATGCACAACAGTCCTCTGCAAAATCCCACACCAGGTGACCAAAAACTGGTGACCAAAGACTGGGAAGCACAAGGAGGACACATGAGGCCCAAATGTCATGCAGGGTGCTGGTTGGGATCCCGAGACAGGAAAAGGACATTAAGTAACTGAATAAAATCTGGACTTCAATCACTTCTCACCATGCCTCAAGATCCTTCAGCTCAAGGAAGCCTACTCCATACACAGGGCCCAACAAAAAGCGCCTGAGCAGGGGCCTCAGCTGACCATGCTGACCTCGGGACAGCCAAGTGTAGTGCACGGCCAGTGTTAAGGTCAAGGCCTAGGAGAGTGTGTGCAGCGCACTCTAAGAGGGCCAATTCCTTGGCGGGACTCCTGCCTGCCCACTTTACAGGGCCTATCATTCCCTCAAAGGGGCCCTTTGGTGCCAAGCAACACTGGATTCATACTAAATCCTGTGGCAGATGGTCCTCAGCTCACATGGTGTGCCCAATAGGAATCCAGGAAACAGCGGGAAGGAGAGTTAGAGGTGGATTTCCCCACCTGGCTGGGCACCACTGACCCTAACTCCAGGGGATGCTTCACAGAGAAGCCAGAGTTTTCTCCTCCAATGACCTTCTTGGACTGTGGGAGACATGTCCCTTCTGACCTGATGTGCGCTGAACCCCTGCTGGACATAGGACCAGCACCACAGAGTGACCACGCCCCAACTCTCCAGCCTGACATTCTGCCAAGGAATCCTAACTCTCTGGTGGCATGAACCACAGGGAAACAGCATTTGCACATACAACTCCCAGTCCCCTTTTGTCAGAATAGTAAGTGATAAAAGCCTAGAAAGCAAAGAACATCACAGTCCCATTCTGATAGCCTAAGGTTTAGGGATCAATAAAAACAAGAAGGCTCATCCAGAAGTTAGGCTACAGTCTCAGGGGGGCGGGAAGCAGAGGAACATGCGGACTGCACACGGGACTGTAGCCTGCCCCACAAGGAGGGGACCCAGGTTTTCCAGTGTGGTCTTTGGGGGTGGGGGTGGAGGACTGCACTAGATTTACCAGTGGCCCCAGACACTGGTGCTCCTGGGCCAGCAGGGCCTTGTGAGGGGCTCACTGCATTGGGGGGGGGGGGGCTTTTCTAGCAGGTGGTCCCCTCAGCAGGCACACCACGCCCATCTTCTTCCACAGTGGACTCCTGGGCTCTCTGGATTGAGGTGTGACCTCACACAAGGCAGCTTTATTTCTGATCCTCCAGGTCCCAGTGGAGGCAAAGAGATAAGGCACAGGAAGGAATGGCGCCAGGGCAGGGCTTGGGGCGGAGCAGGTGCCCCCATCCTCCCCTAGACAGCCTCGGGGCTGCTCACTTCCAGACTTTCCTGTGGACAAGGCTCCAGGTCCCCTGGCCTGCTTGCGCAAACCCCTGGCCCACCCACAACAGCCACGGGCCCTTCGGATGACAACACTGACCCTGCAAACAAAGTGGACGGTCACTTCCTGAGCTTTTAAGTCCCCAAGTCAGAATGGGGATGGATCTAATCCATAAAATACCCCAATGCTGAATTTAACAAAAAAACATGGCTTGCTCCAAGATTCCACTTACATAACCTTAGTTCTCATGTTAAATCCCCAAGGCGGGACCTCGTCACTTCGGCTGACTCCCCCCCATTTCATACAGAGTACTTTATGAATTCACCCCCTTCACTAAAAAATTCCCAGAGGAAGTGGAAAAGAAACCAAAGATGTAAAATTATTTCCTTTTCCTCACCATAAAAAAACAAAACAAAAAAATCATACAGAAGTTTGCCTCTCTGAGTAATAAACATCAGCTAATAACAATATTTCAACATTGTTTTATTGGCTGTAACAAACACATCATACCAATGTTAAGAGGTCAGTAGGGAACACTAGGTGGGCAGTATATGAAAATTATTAAATTTTTTCCCTGTAAATTTAAAATTACTGTAATACAAGTTATATTAAAATTATTATTATTTTTATTTTTGGTACTAGGGGCACTTTACCACTGAGCCACATCCCAGCCCTTTTTTATTTTGAGACAGTATCTTGCTAAGTTGCTGAGGACTTTGCTAAATTGCTGAGGCTGGCTTTGAACTTGCAATCCTCCTGCCTCAGCCTCCTGAGCTGCTGGAATGACAGGTGTGCATACCAAATCCAGCTAAAATGCTTCTAATCAAAGAAAATCTTACCTATGCCCCCTCCAGTTAACATTCAGGGCAAGAGGAGAGCCCCTGTGTGCAGGAAGCCCTCCCCTCCCCCACTTCTGAGCAGACTTGCTCAGCTCTCCACTGTGCATTCCCTCCACATCCAGATGCATCTGTGTCCTAGGCAGGACCAGAATGCCCCGGCCCTTGGTGCCCCACTCATCTGGCAGCATCCTAGAAGTGGAAAGGAAATTTGAGGGGAGGTGTCAAACACAGGAGCCTGTGGAAGATGACAGACAGCTCTGGGCATAGGAGGAGGGGCCCATAAGGACAGGGGGCAGGACAGAGAAACCAGAAGACAAAACTCACAACAATCGTGTGAGCTGACTGCCGAGGAAGGGGCAGAGCCCGCAAGCAAATCGGCCATGTGTGTCGTGAGCTTGAGCCCAAGTAGAACAGGAAATCAGTTCAACACCACATGACTCACATCCCAACCGTTGGAACCAGGTGAAGGGAACCCAACCCAAAGTGAGCTAGGACCAAAAAGATGGCAGTGAAAACCTACAAGACTCAAATTAAAACACAGCAAATGGCCACGACAGCCAGCCACGAAGACAGAAAATGATTTTCAAGAGCAGGCTCACTAGGGCCACTGAGGGAAATAATGGCAAAATAAAAACCTCCGCCAACAGAGGATAAATCTCTAAAGCCACAGTTAATGGCCCAATAATTTTTTCCTTCAATAACAAAAGAATCAGCAAAATCAATTTCCCAGATACCCAGAAAAGCACCCCACGGCAGCCTGGCACTTCCCAAACAGATCAACACCTTTGCAAAGATGGCCACCAAGTGCTACAGGTTCAAAAACAGTGCGAGGACAGGAAGCGGAATCTGGCCATTTTCACAGAGGAGGACAGGCCAGAACAGCCAGCTGCACACACGCAGCAGGCGGGGTGTGTGGCAGGAGACCAAAGGTCAGGAAGACTCCACCTCCTCCTCCAAGCTGGAGGGGGCCTGCCTGGGCCCTGGGCAGACGCGTGACTTCAACCCTGCGGCCTGGCCAGGGGGTTCCCTGACCAGACACAGAAGGGCCAGAACAGAACCCACCTCTAGCCCAGATTTATCCTGCAAGGAAAGGCAACCGGGGAGAAGGACAGATGCCAGTTCCTGGGGTCCCTCGTGGCTGCTGGGCAGGGAACTCAATGCCATTCACTGGGGGCTACCAAATGGAGGCGCCGACCCTGGCGATACACACAGCACAGGTACGGGCACAGGCTGGGCAGGGCCCGAAAGCTGAGGTGCAAAAAAACCAGCTGCTCTTGGAGATTCGGTGTGTTCCCCTGGATATGTGCTTCAGGACTAATCATTTTACAAGGCCCCAAATCATTAACAAAACGGCTGATTACAGTTCTGGCAATCATTATTTAAGTCATTACTTAGACTGTTGGATGCAATAAATAGAGAGATGACAGAATGGCAAACAGCTGAGATTCCACCTCCAGAGCCCAAGAACACAGTGTCAGGGAAGGAACAGAGCCGTGGCGGAGCCACATGGGCTCATCCCAGTCTTCAGACGCGAACGGAGCCAGATAAATCACTCTAAGATGCCTTCCTCCGCCTCGATTGCAGGGGCCACTGCGCTAAATTCTTACATAGCCCCCATCCACTTAATTTTAGTGTTGGTTATGTATATTCAGAGGCTCAAAAATACTTGATGATTCCAGTGGACCCACACAATTTTGAACTGTTTTTAAATATAAAAATGGACATATTAATGAACTAGAAATCAATTAGGACGTAGCAAATCAAGTGCCTTGGTTCATAAAGCGGTGTACACATAGTACTGTGGCTCTGACAGTCAAGTTTTAACCAAAAGATTCTCTCAGAATATGGGCCCATCAGGGCTGGGGCTCAGTGGTAGAGCGCTTGCCTCACATGTGTGAAGCACTGGGGTCCATTCTCAGCGCCACATATAAATAAATAAAATAAAGGTCCATCAATAACTAAAACAAAAGAATATAGATTCATTAGAAGGTAACGGCCAACACGGAGGCTTCCTGCTGTGTGGTTACCCAAGACAGAATCCTGCCCCTGGCCAGTGTCTGGAGCTGGGCTGGAGGCTGTGTGATGTCATCTCACCTCCACAAGAGGAGGCTCCGTTCTTGCCCACTGCAGCCCAGAGGTGGAATTCCTGGACCCTAATCCTCAAATCCCTCAGACACCGCCGGATGCCGAGGATATTCTAGCACCATGCCAAGTGCCACCCTGGGCACCGCCGACATTGGGGCTGGATAACTCTGCTGGGGGCCGTCTGTGCACTACACTACATTTTATGGCATCCCGGCTTCCACCCAGTGGAACGACTTGGGTGACTGGGGTTTCCTGCACACATCCTGGCAGGAACCTTGCCTGCAATGATGTCCTCCAGTGGCCACACTGTGAAATGTGCAACATTGACTCTGCTCTCGGCTCCTGTTCTTCCAGGAACGCTTGGTACTACCTCCAACTACCCTGGCACCTGCTTCCCCACAGCTACGGGTTCAACTAGAGAAAGGTCTCTTAAGCGAGATGGCAGGGCCACACACCTGGTATTGCCCAAACCGGAATGGCTGGCTGCCCTCAGGCACAGAGTCCACTTGTCAATCTCTCCTGCAACAGGACAACCCAGCCAGCCCTATCACCCACAGCCATCAGCCTTAGGTGCTCAGCCATGAGGGATGTTGACAGGGCTGTCACCTCTTCTTGCTCCTACTCAGTCCATCTAGAAATGGCGGCCTTCTCAGGGCAGGCCTCGACACAGCAGCTAGATGCCCGACTCCTGTCCCAACCTGTCAATACAGGGGCCTCAGGAGCAGCAGCTATGATGGTGCCACCTGGAGAACTAAGAGCCTACGCACCTGATAGTGGTGCCACATGCAGAGTGGAGAGGAGCAGGAACCTGGACTTAGCACCAGGCACAAGCTGACCAGCACGGAAGGAGAAACCATCAAACTGCTAAAAGACGACACCGGAGAGAGTCTTTGGAATCCTGGGTGGGCAACGATGACAAACGTCCATAAAAATACAATATTCAATACGAGACTTTACAAAACTTCTGCTCATCAAAAAGATTCCATCAACAGAGTGTGATTGCAAAGTAGGAAAAGATATATTTTTGGTACCAGGGATTGAGGGATTGAGCTCAGTGGCGCTTGACCACTGAGCCACATCCCCAGCCCTTGTTTGTATTTTATTTAGAGACAGGGCCTCACCGAGTTGCTTAGCAGCCTCACTTTTGCTGAGGTGGCTTTGAACTCACCATCCTCCCGTCTCAGCTCTGGGACACACAGCTATTATCACCATACCCGGCAGGAAGAGATCTCAATACAAATATCCAACTCAAGACCTGTATCCAGAATCTGTCACAGGTTTCTACAGTTTTAGTGTGCTAGGGGTTTGAACCTGCCTCCCAAAATGTGTGCACTGGAAACTTTATCCCCAATGCAAAGGTGTGGGGAAGAGGGCACAAGGAGAGGAAATTGGGCCCGTAAGGCTACACCGTCATAGATGCATTAAGCCCTTCATCATTGGGACCACACACATTTGACACAAACGGACCTTGCAAAGCCCAGGCAGCAACTGAGTTGTAGCAGGGGTTAAAGGTTTCGTATCCATGCTGGCCAGAGGTAGCTTACTTCTCAGGGACCATCCATGGCCTCCGGATATCTCCCTTAAGAGTCTGAATGTCCAGAACGCTCCGTCCTCCTGAACCTCTTTTCTTCCTCCCCCTTCAAATTGTCCTTTCTGCCAAGAATCACTTGCCTCCCTACTTCCTGCTGACACATTAATTACAACAACAAATAACCCGAGTGATGTCATCTAAACGCTCACTTCCTGTAGTGGACTGGCTGTGGCAGAGGAGGGTGGGGAGGCAAGGCCTCTGCCCCATGTCCAGCACCTCATGCCTCATTCTAGAGAGGAAAAAAAGACCGCGGCTCTCACTTGGCACGAAGCCCTTACACAGAGGAACTCACCCCGAAGGGTAAGTTAAATAAAAATAAAATGTGTGTCAGGCACCGCTGCCACCAAAACACAGCTATTGTAGTGGGAAACAGGCTGGCGATTGTGCGGAACTATGTAAGTGTATGCACAGAAAGGGGAGCCACGTTGGAGGCGTGGGCAATGAGATGCAGGGTGCAATCACATTCCCTGCGTTCCCAGCATGAGTTAGTGAGGACAGCCCGGGCGGAAGTCTCTGTGAGGACAGGGAGGCACCTGCGTGGCGTGAGGACGGTGCGGGGGTGGTGGTTCCCTGTCTGTATTCTTAGCATGATGGATAGACCTGGAGACAGGGAGGAAGGGCCAGCTCCAAGGGCCCCGGGCTCAGGGGAAGGGCCAAGGACCAGCTCCAAGCTCCCTGGGCTCAGATGGCAGCTTGGCCCATCGCCTTCACCTGCCCTGGCAGCCAACACTGATGGGTGTGTTTAATTTTCTGAAGGGAACAAAGATTTAAGCTGGATCCAATAGCACCTTCTAGAAATGCTTGGGACTTCCACCAAATGGGCTCTGTGACAGACAAAGAGGAACGTGACCAGAAAACTGGAAACCCAGGTTGGCTGGTGACATCACGATGAGGAGCTATGGGGGCGACGTGGCAGAGGCCCAGCCCGCAGTATTCCACACTGCCCATGGCCCTTCACCGTTTCACCTGAACTCACCTCCATGTGTCCTAACGGGGCCACCAGCTGGAATCTGTCCTGCAAGCCTAGCACTTGGTATCACAGTTATCTTGGATTATGGCTTCAAGAGCCAAGTCTGACCTTGGGTTCAAGGTCACATCCCTAGACGGGTGATCAAAGGGCAGGGGTGGCCACTCTGAGGCCATATGTGTCCCCAACCCACATAAGAAAACCAATCTTGTCACTCCAGTTTCTCCAAGATCCCAAGCAGAACCCTCCTCATGGAAGGCCACGGGCTTGGGTACCCAAATCAACAATCCAGGAGACTTCAGGATTTATTTTCTAGGAGACAAGAGGTCCCAAATATTACCAAGACCGTTTTGTCTGTAGTCCTCTAGCTACACGGTCTTAGTGTCAGTTATTGTACACGTATTCAGCCGAGCCCAACCTACCCCATCCTCAACGTCACTGCGTCACTCAGAACTACCTGCCCTATAGCCACCAAGACTCTTAGACTGCCACAGCTGTTCTCAACGTGTGCTGGCCAGTCTCAGAACAGTGTTCCAAGTTCCTAGCCAAAGTGCTGCTCCCACCTGCTGGGAGGTCACAGCAGGTCCAGCTGTGAGAACAACTGCCCAGGCAAGGGACAACTCGAGGTCGTGCCTGCAGGGGGTCCGTCCACCTTTGGGGCAGTTGACTCCCAAGTTTTCAGCTGACCCTTACCCCAGTGATAGAGCTCCTTTCTCCTGCTCTGTCTTCTTGTTCCTGATCATGCACAGAGTGCTCCATCAACCCAAAACATGGGAAAAGCAGCCCAGGCTCTAGACCTTGATGAGCTGAGGATTCTCCAGCCTCCACAGGGACCTTCTGGGAGCCAGCAACAAACACATCACCCGCTCTGTGGGCAGGGCCCTGGCTTGCTGTCGCACAGTGAGCAGATGACTTGGGAGGCAGAACCGTCCACAGCCGCTGAAGCGGAGGCTGCCCACACTCACCAGCAGCCCCAGGGAAGTGTGGAGGGGGAATCCTGGACGACATCCCTCCAGACTTAAACCCCAGCCCCGTGGTCCTAGGGATGCCGTGCCCTGGGGTTCTCTTTACAAGGACTGAGATATACAAACAGTGGATCCATTTCAATAAGATATGAAGAAACGAGAAAAGATCATTTTGAAACAGGCTGTTATATATAGAAAATTAAATCAAGTGCCTTGGCTGTAAACACCAGGGTGGATCATGCACCAGAGTGCCATTAATTATTAACTGTCCTGAAATGTCCCAATACGGACTAAATGGCCTACTCCCAGAGCAAAATGTATTCTCATTGACAAAAGGAGACCAAAATATTTGTCATGGTTGCTAATTTGAATAGAATGGGTTCCAAAATTAGAAAGTGGCTACTTCAATGTTGAGCGTCTTGACAAGGCGTTTTGCAGTTGGAACAGGGAGACCAACAGGCTGTCTCCCCAAGCACTCCGTGCAGTGGGCCTTACTACCAGCCTCCCCTTTTGATTTTGAAGAATTTTAAAGCCAAGCCACACTCCCTCCATTACTGGTAACCATGCTAAACGGTTCCAATACCGCACCTGAGCATTTGCAGCGATCCTGTCAAATAAAATCTTCCTCCAAGTTAACTCTGCTCTATATTTATGCATTAATATCACAGCTTACTGCAAAGCGCACAAATCATTTTAACAGAGTGTAAATTTAACTACCATGAAGGCATTTTATACTCTGCTTAACTTCACTAAGGGGCCCATATTTTTTGGAGCAGATAAATCAGGTTTCCATATAACTCTACTTAAGGGAACAGAAGTCAAAACTTATAAAGAGAAATATGCCCTGTGTCCCTGGATTACAGAGCAAATAAACATATCTGCACCCCAGCCAAGAGTCTACTTTTGTCATCTGTAACTCTTACCAAGCATAGAGCACCCACTGGACTACCTGGCCCAGGGAAGGTGGAAGGGTGGGAGAGGTTGTCACCTTCCTCCCAAGTCCAGTCCCTGTCCTCTTGCTATTCTGCAATGATGAGGACTGACCACTGTTGCCCTGAGAACATCTTCCCCACATCATGAGGAGCCGACATCTGTACCATCTTGAATGTCATCGATAGAAACATGATCTCCTCTGGGTCTTTCCTAAAGGGAACTCATGCCCTGATGTCACAAGGTCCCCAGATACACACAAGAAAAGTAAAAAGAAAAAAAAAAAAAAAAAACGGGGGCAAAAGAGATCCATCCATACCCACAGCAGCTGAAGTCATAAATTATTACTGAATAAGGGAACCTTAGCCACGGCCCATCTGGAAGGGCCAGACGGGGCCTCACACTGTGCCCTGAAGGTCGACAGAGGGAGGGCCCCAGGCCTGAGAAGCCGTGGTCCTGGTGCAGGACGCTCCCAGGTTCACAGCACATAACCCCGAACATGTTGCACCCACCAGTGAGGAGCCCTGGCCACTGCCTCCCGCATCCCACGACCAGACACCCAAGACCTGTGCAGGGTGGACAACAGCCACACCTCCTCAGTTTCTGGGGAAGAGAAAAGTCAAAGACAAGATAAAAAGACACATGAAAATGTGGCCCACTCAAAGGGCCCGACTGGCCAGTTCAGAAGCAACCCGAGTGAGCTTCAAGATAAACCATGGCAGGACCGGCTATGACAATGGGATGAAGGAGGAAGCCGGAGCTGTGGATAAGCACGCTCGGAAGCAGGGATCACGATGAATGCCAACGGCTTAGCAAAGGCGCCAGCAGATCACACTACCAATCATCAGGCTCAACAGAGGGAGGGTGAAGATCACAGGGCTCCATCCCCAGGCTTGTTAATTACAAAGAGAAAGAGGAAAACATCAGCCTTACAGCGGAGAACAGACAGGCCACCATAGCCATGTGATCAGAACAGCTGGCCAGTAAGGAGAGAAACTGGGCAAGGCTTAATCCGTCCCCCAGGTAGCTCAGGATGGCTGAAGCCTGGTCAACTGCCCTCCTCCCTGGCCAGCACGTGTTACAGGCCTGAATGACCACATGGCTCCCAAACTCATGTTCATGACAGCTCACTGACGTCCTGTTTAGATTCACCCCTCTGGAAAAGACAGGGAACTTTCAGTAGGTTCCCCCTGAAACCTTGTTCTTCTGTTAATTAACCCCGACTTTCCATTCTAATCAATCCTTATAAAAATTTAACATGCCTCTAGCCTCAGGTAACATTTATTTTTAGCTAATTTTGGCGGTCCCCAGTGACTAGCCTGTGGTGGGCACACCAGAGCATGGGCAGGCAGGCTGTTAACCATGATCACTCTACTGTGATCAGTCGTCCATGGACACGTGACCAAGGGCCTTTGGTATTACCATCTACTTCGAAAATTCAGCTCCAAAGCCACAGCTCCAGGTGCTTCCCAGAGTGCACCGAGAGAGTTAGGAATCCCCTTTCTCCAAGCCAGCCCGAGGACCCCTCTTGCCAGTGTCCCCAGACTGTTAGGAGGGCCAGCAGGGTATGGACCCCCAGCTCATCAATGCATCCCACTGGTTAGTGCTGAACACCTGCTGGACTTAATACAACCAGGTTAATATTTATCTTAAGGTTCCAAGTGTACGTCTGACATGGAAATCGAACATAAGACCACCAGAGCCTGCCCACGTCCTCTACACACTTTCCAAAGCCAATTGCTTGGAAAAAGGTCTTTGGATTTTACTTCTGAATGCAAGCAACAAGCAACTCCCGAGAACACTCGGGGTCCATCCCCCAGGCTCCACAGGAAAACCCCCAGGTCAGGGAGCCGCATGCCCAGCACTGGGCATGTCAAGGATGCACAGTGACCAGACCACCAACCATATGGACATAAGCTCCCTGATCCGGGGACTTGGGTAAGGACGCAACCTGCAACATGGTTTCCTTGTCTGCAAAAGAGGAAAACAATGCCACATTTAGAGACTAGGAACCTAACCACCCACAGCTAGGCTGGAAGATAATCCAAGCTGCCTGAACAGGACCCAGGACCCGGGACCCACTTGCTGCTGCTTCTAAATGCATTTCTTCTCCACAGGCTGTGAACATGTACCAGCCCACAGCTCCAAGGCCACCACTGCAGGGTACCTCAGTAACACAGGGCAGGAGCCGCAGGGGAGCTTGGCCCAGTCATCCTTCTATTTCAGGCCCTCGGCAGCCACATGGAAAGGTGACTGATGAGTAAGTCTGACTCAGAGGGAGGCGCTCTGCAGGCTGCTCTTGCCAATCTGGGAGGGGCTATCTGCTAGGTGGAGGCCCTATGTCCAGTAGCAGGGTACCCCAGCCCTCCTTTCTGGGAAAGGGACACTGGGAGCTACCTCCATCAAAACCACAACTTCTTGGGCCAGAGGGGTTCTCAGAAGCAACCTCTCTCTTCCTGCCCAGCCTTTGTTCCCGCAGAAGGGCGAGTGCAGCGTCCACAAACCAGATCTGGACCCCACCCAGGAAGCAACAGTAACCTACCCACTGGTGCTCTTTCCCACCAAGGCCCCTTTAGATCGCCCAATCTGGCCCCCAGGGATGAAGAACTCGCCACCTGTTACCGCCCGTTTTGACACCCGGCCATGAGTTCTGGCTTCACCCCATTATCGAACCTTTGCCCAAGTGTACTTCCCTTGAACAGTCCCCAGGCTCCATGCAAACAAAGCCCTCTCCTTAGCAACAGTGCACTGGGCACAACCCAAAGATGACCCAAACTGGAGCTGCTCCAGCAGCCGGGGTGTTGGCCATGACCAAGGGCACGGTGGCCAAAATCACCTTCATCCCTCCCGTCGCCACCCATTGCCGAGCTGAGACAACAGTCCATCAGCAGGAAGAGAGACAGATTGCAAACAGCTGCTGAGTCCTGAGATCAAGAGTTTTATTTTAGTGGCTACAGGGAAAAGTAGGGAAAAGCCGCCAACATCTTCACTAACAGCATAATTATATCAGAGAAGATGCCCTCCTCCAAGACTCCCGTGCTGCCCTGACGGCAGTTTAATCAGCGGAGGAAAGACGGTGAAGACAGTCATGAGGCAGGATTCCGTCTCCTTCCCATGCACACGTCTGACTCTCTTTAATGACAATGAAAGAAAGCTACACGGCCATATGGCGAGGAGAGCTACCCCGGGTGCCGCCGTTACATAAAGCGTTTAGCAGAGGATTTAGCTGCTGTAAAGATCCCATTAACCAGAGACGGTTTCCGTCTCCAACTCCAGGCAGAGCTGGTAGTTTTACTTCTGAGATCAGGGCAAAGAGTCTCCCTCAGCAAGTACTCAGGGAGCCCTGGCACTCTGGCCTCACCTGGGTGACGCCACTCCAGGGTGCCACCTAGTCCCATTTCCCGCCAGCCACCCACCAGCTCCGCCATGGTGGTGATCTCCTGAGTGTATATTTTTACCCTTTCCTACATCACTTCCAGGCACACCAGGGCTGGGAGGTGTCTGACGAAATCACACAGCCCTTGCAATCCTGTGGGGGTGGGGATGACTTGGTGGGTGAGGTCGGGATTCTGAATGCCAGCTGACCTGCCCCTGGCCTCCTGTATTTCCCCCACCCCTGAAGGGCCCCAGCCCCAGGCTGCTGCTCCCTGCCTGGGAGCTCTGCAGACACGCCCACCTCTGCCCAGAGGCTCCATCCCCAAACCCTCCTGCAGCTGGCTGCCTCCTGCTCTTCCAATCTGTGTCCTCCAGAGGCCTGCTGCCAACGCTCACACCAAATCTAAGACTTGATGTCCTGGTCTGAATGTTTGGGTCCCTTCGGATTTCTACTGATATCCTGATAGTAGGAGGTGGGCTTCAGGGCATCAACTAGGGGATAAAGGCAAACTCAGGATGGGATGAGTCATTATAGCAGAGTCCCTGGGAGCTCCTCTGCCCCTCCACCATCCATCTGCACTACACCAAGAAAGTACTATCTATGAACCAGAAAGGGGATCTTCACCAGCCACCAGATCTGCTGGCTTACTTATCTTGAACTTTCTGGCTTAGAGAACAGTGAGGAAATCAAGTCCTGGCCTTTATCAGCCAATGGTATATGGTAGGTCTTTCTAGCAGATAAAGACAATGGATCTTCCACTGGAGAGGTAAGGCCAGCTCACAGAAAGCCCCCTGCAGGGCGATGCCCGACCTCTAGGACATGGCTCAGTGAGAGCTGGTCTACTGCCGTCTGCCGAGTCTGGACATCCCTAGCATGCAGACACAGTTTCTGAATGAAAGTCTATGGACAGCAACAGGCAGCCCCCATTCCTCAGCCCTGCAGAGATAAGTCTGGGCAAGTACTGAGTAAGAATGGAAGCACCTGTGAGGGCCAGTGGTCACCAGGCTCCTCGGCGCAGGTGTAAGATGATACCCCATGGCGATAGGACACCCACAGTGACAGGGTGTCCTACTAGGCCCACAGCTGCTTGCCTCGGCATCAGGAGCCTTCTCATTCCAGTGGACACACCCCACCCACAGGTCTCAGCCTCTCTGAAACTCATTTTCTACTTAACAAGTGAGAGCCCCCATTTAGGAATGTGCCAGGCAACTAGAGTGTGCCTGAATACACGAGATCTTCATACTTCAATGCAGACTGCTCAACATGCAGACCCCTCAGGCGAGGCCGGGTGGCCTGCCATGCAATTCAGCAGCACCCAGATGGTCCACCTCGATGGTGGACAACTTGCATGTGCTCAGAATTCTTCAGATTTAAATGAAATGCACCTCCTCATCTCCCAGCCCTGCTCAGCCCTGCCTTCTTCACAGGACAACACTGAGGACAGGTGTTTTCTTCTCTGGGCTCAAAGTCCACAGGTCCCGGAGATGCCATCCCCACCCTCCATTCTACTTCCTCCAGGGAGTGCTTCAGGGTTCCAGGTGCTGTTGATGCCTGGCCCTGGAACCTGACCCGCATTCTGGCCTCTGAGGACACATCCAGGAATTTCCTGGGCCCAAGATACCTTGGCTCCTGGAGCCACCAAGAGTTGTAGGAGGGCTGGGGATGTGGCTCAAGCAGCAGTGCGCTCGCCTGGCATGCGTGCGACCCGGGTTCGATCCTCAGCACCACATACAAAGATGTTGTGTCCGCTGAAAACTAAAAAATAAATATTAAAATTCTCTCTCTCTTAAAAAAAAAAAAAAAAAAGAAAAAAGAAAAAAAAAAAGAATTGCAGGAGTGGAACAGAAATCCAGTCCTTGAAACCCATCAAGAGAAGTGCAACCAGCACCTGCCCTGTGACTGGTGCAGCCGGGTCGG